CCCCCCCGAGGGCAACGCCCTCGCTCCTCCTCTTCCTGCCCCTGCCCCACCCCCTCCCTCAAGGCCCTGCCCTTGCCCTGCCTCTCCCTGCCCCGCCCCCTTCCCCAAGGCCCTGCCCTCGCCCCTCCTCTCCCTGCCCCTGCTCCGCCCCCTCCCCCAAGGCCCCGCCCTTGCTCCGCCTCTTCCTGCCCCTGCTCCGCCCCCTCCCCAAGGCCCCGCCCTTGCTCCGCCTCTGTCACTGCATTTTTAACGGGCACGTCGCTTCTCGGACGGGATTTCCTCCGAAGGGGGTTTATTTGACAAGCGACGTGCCCGTTAAAAATGCAGTGACAGAGGCGGAGCGAGGGCAGGGCCTTGGGGAAGGGGGCAGAGCAGGGTCAGTGGTTTGAGCCTGCCAAACCCAGTGTTGTGAGTTTAATCCTTGAGGGGGCCACTTAGGGATCTGGGGCAAAATCAGTACTTGGGCCTGCTAGTGAAGGCAGGGGGCTGGACTCGATGACCTCTCGTCCCTTCCAGCTCTATGAGATAGGTATATCCCCATATTTGTCAGTAAGGAAGAGCGAGCAGCCCCTGTGCAGCGCATCCCGACCTTTGCAGTTAGCCGGGTTCTCTGCTTTTGGGGTGCAGCCGTCCTCAGTAGAGGCCTCTCCAAAGGCAGGCTCTGCGGGCAGGTCTCCGGGCTCCCTCTGGTGGTAGGTACAAGCTGCCCTCTGCCAAGGCTGCAGCCAGCAAGACTCACTCCATGGGGCTCTGCTCTTGTGCCCCCAGCTTCCTTCTTCGTGGTGAGCCTCGGGGGGGCGGCCGTGGGGCTGCTCTTCGCCTTCCTGCTGGCGCTGATCACCAGGTTCACCAAGCGCGTGCGCATCATCGAGCCGCTCTTCGTCTTCCTGCTGGCGTACATGGCGTACCTCGCCGCTGAGATGGTCTCGCTCTCCTCCATCCTCGCGTGAGTACCGCGCGCTTGGCGCACGCAGCCCTCGCCAGGCTCTTCCCCGGGCGAGAGCCGGCCTCCCCTGGCCTGTGCGAGAGGGATGCTGGGCCCCGTGGGGTGGGCACGGCGCATCCTTATGGGAGCAGGTTCCCGCAGCCCCTGCCCTCCCCTTCACCTCGCTCCTCCATCCCCAGCCCCCTCCCCTTCACGTCATTCCTCCATCCCCCCGCAGCCCGCTCTATTCATGGTATTTCTCAGCTCTGACTCGTGGCCCCCTCCAAACCTTGGTGCACCTGAATCCCGACACTAAACCTCACCCTGTTCACAGTGCTCCTCAATCCCAACTTGCAGGTGCAGTTGTGCCAGGCGATGCACAGCCCCCAGCTGAGCCCCTTCCAGAGCCAGGCAGAGGTCCCTGCACAGCAGCTGTGGGGGGCTGGAGGAGCCCCAGTGCCATGGGTGGGGGAGGGGTCTCTGAGCACTGGGGCGGGATGGAGATTTTCGCAGCGGCGGAGTCAGTCCAGGGGCCCCAGTGACAAATGAGATTCTTGTGCTGGGAGGAGGGGGGAGGTTTTTGCAGTTTTATTTTAACACCATTGACAGACAAAGCCTGAGCCGCCTCCTGCCCCCCCACCCCGCTGCCCTGGCCCAGACCCCAGTGACCCTTCCTCCCTCGCCATGACCTGCAGCCTCTGAGCTCTCCGTCTAAGGTCTCGTGTGAAGAGCGGGGCAGAGTCTGAGCGCTGTGAATATCCTGGATCTCTGTTGATTGTTGGAGTGGGCCCAGCTCTCTGGAGCACTAAGGGTTAACTCCGTCCTGTGCCACCCGCTCAGCCAGGCCAGACAATGGCACTGACCCAGTCACCCAATAGACGGGTTAATTGCTTGTGAGGGGATCTCCAGGCGTCGCCCCCACCGAGCTGATCTCCGCCACTCCTCACTAGCTTTCCCACCCAAGGTGCTGACCGTCTCCAGGCCCTGGCTGCTCCGCTACCAGCGCTCAGCGCTCTCCCCCCGAGGCCCCGAACCTCGAAAACCTTGAGCTGAGCTTGCTCTAGTTCTGACACACCAACCAGCAGGAGCAAAGAAACTTCAGCCCCCTCCCATCACCACAAAACCTCCCGGCTCCCGCCAAGGAGGCCCACGAGATTGTAAATGGATCAGTCAGTGGCAAGGAAATAGTCACCCTGGTCGAATTCCAGATGGCACCTCTCCCCACACCCCAGCCTGTGCCGAAAGGGGCAGCAACAACTGCTTTGCGTGGGACCCCCCACCCCGTAGGGGGCCGTGGTTCAGTTCTTGCTGTCGGCCTGGCCTGAGACAGCGAGAGGAGATGGTGGGACTTCCAGGCTCCCTTTGCATTCAGTGTCTCCGCCTCACTCCCGGACCCCGCGTGCTCCATCTGAGACGCCCCGGCCCCGCTCGAGTCGCTGGGGCCCTTTCCTAGGAACTGAGCTGGGGGTGCCCGGCCCGTTCTCCCCAGGAGCTGCTGCTACACATGGGCTGCAAAGCCGGTGCCCTGGAGCCGGGCGTTGGATCGCATACGTCATTACTGTGATCTCCTGGTTGCCGGGTGGGTTCTGAGGCCAGACTGGTTTGATTTTGTAGGTTCAGCAGCTAGATTCCTGTCACTCGGGAAAGGGCCTTTCCCGGGGACTCGGCTGAAGGAGCAGAGATGGCAGCATTGGGACAAAGCTTCCCCCCCTCCCCCGCCCCATAGTGGCAGGCTCCCCCCTCCCCCTCTGGGAGCCTCTCAGCGCCTCCCCAGCGGGACAGAGGAGAGGCTGTGGGGGAGGGACGTCAGGGCAAGGGCAGACAGCCGGGGCCAGACGGGAGCTGCTGAGAGGTGCTGACGCTGTTCCTGTCTGCGGGTAAATTGCCCGGATGCTGCCCCGGGAAAGCTCCGTCCCTGGGCGGATTGACCCCCCGGCGGCGTTTCAACGAGCAGCCCAAGGCAGTGACTGGTGCATTGCAGAGACAGCTGGTGTCCGGGCTCGCTCGGAGACGTTCTGCGCCCGGATTGACCAGCTCAGACCAAATGGAACCTCCCTGGACCCAGAGACCTGCCTGTCGGAGGCACTGCCCGGGGTGCTGCCATCCGCGAGGGGCTCCGTGTACGGCGGTCTCTGCCCAGCCCATGTCAGGGAACATCCTGGAGCCAAGTGCCCCAGGGTCTGATCCAGCCACTTCCCTCTCGCTTTGTTCAGTCACTGGCCGTGAGCAGGAACTCCAGGGCCCAGGCCACACGTAGGGAGAACCACGTAAGGGCCCTGGCAGAGCCTGGAGAAAGCTGCGACTGAATGAGGAAGGGCCGTTTGTAGCTGCCACTGAAGAGTTGGCCCTTCGGGGGCTCGGAGGGGCTCTCCCTGGGGCAGGGCAGGAGAGGGCAGGCAGTGCTCCGGGGGAAGCAGAGGGGCTTTAGGAAGAAGCCAGTTCTGCCCAGCCTGGCTTTAGGGCCTGAGGCTGGAGCTCCAGCAGCTGGGGGCGGGCAGAGGGTGGTGGTGGGTGAGGCTGACTCTGTCCATTCTCAGAGCCCAGAGGGCAGAGCAGCCGCAGTAGCTGGCGCGCCTGGCGCACGGTATGTGGAGAACCACGGGCAGTTTGCGAACCCTGGTGTGCTGGTGGGCTCTGCTGTCCTTCTCTCTGGGTGTGGGCCTCTGAGCTCTGCACCGGGCGCCTGGTGAGTCGCTGACGCTGTCTGTGACACGCTGCAGGTGCTGTATGCCCTGTCTCTAGATCCCGTGGCCGGGCCTTTGTCTGCCGGGGCACGTGGGCAGCCACACGATGCCGGACAGCAGCACCTTGGAGCTGGACATGAGACAGGCGTGACTATCACATGGCACAGGGCTCTGCAGGATGCCACATGGGGCGGGAGCACCGCCCGAGCGACGTCTGGGGCCGCCCAGTGGGGAAGGGCTGGTTCCCCTGCTGCACACGCAGACTCGGCCCCTCTGGCTCAGCTGAGTGAGAGCAGCGGGCGGGGGACCCGGGAGAGGTGGGTCCCACTGTGGTGAGTGTCACGGAGTCCCGGGCGATGCTCTGGAACTGCTCCCCACAAAGCCAGTCAGGACTTTGGGGAGCTTCCTCTCCCTTGGAGCAGACTGTCTTCAGGGCAAGAAGCTCACACGGCTTCACCTCCTGGGTCTCTCCTTGGAGCATTCAGCATATGCCCCTCCGTGCGCTTCCCATAGTGAGTCCGCCCAGGCGGGGTCCTGGGGAAGCCAGAGGGTCCCGCACCCCCACTTCGCAGTCAGACGTGACTCTCAGCCAGCCAGTAAAACAGAGGTTTATTAGACGACAGGAACACGGTCTAAAACAGAGCTTGTAGGTCCAGCGAACAGGACCCCTCCGCCGGGTCCATTCTGGAGCCCAGCGAGCCAGACACCCCTGTCTGCCCTAACTCCTAGTCCCCAGCCAGCTCCCAACTGAAACCCCCTCCAGCCCCTCCTTTCTGGCCTTTGTCTCTTTCCCAGGCCAGGAGGTCACCTGATCTCTTTGTTCACCTTTAGTAATTCCCTTGCACGGGGGGGGGAAGGGCCCTGGCCATTTGTTGCTAGGATACAACATTTATGCACACTGGAGACTTAAGAAATGCATAGGGGAAACTGAGGCACCTACACAGTATTCAGAGGAAACATTAAGAACAGTCCCACTTCGTCACAGTGAGCATCCAGGGCCCCTGGCACTCGCCGGCCAGTGCAAAGGGAGTGGGGAGGGGGCAGCTGTGTCCAGGGGCAGCATGGCCCTGCCCGTGTCTATCCCGAGCTCTTGCCGTCCTCTAGGGTCACCTTCTGTGGGATCTGCTGTAAGAAATATGTGGAAGCCAACATCTCCCGGAAATCCCGCACCACTGTCAAGTACACCATGAAAACGCTGGCCAGCAGCTCCGAGACCGTCATCTTCATGTTCCTGGGCATCTCCGCCGTGGACACCTCCAAGTGGGCGTGGGACACGGCGCTGGTGCTGGGCACCCTGCTCTTCATCCTGCTCTTCCGGGCCGTGGGTCAGTCGCTCTCCTGTCCTGTGCTGTCTGCAGCTCTCAGCCCCTGGCTGGGGGCTGTCAGGTCCCCGGGATGTGGGGCAATCTGCCAGGGATAGGACCGGGGGGCGCTTGCAGAGGGTTTGTAAGAGCCCTGGCCCCGGCTGCATCCTGCAGAGCACGCACCCGGGCCAGGCCCTCATCCGCATCCCTCCCCTTCGCCCCTAGGTGTCATCCTCCAGACCTGGGTGCTCAACCGCTTCCGCCTCACGCCGCTGGACCGCATCGACCAGGTGGTGATGTCGTACGGGGGCCTGCGGGGGGCCGTCGCCTTTGCCCTGGTCATCCTGCTGGACGGAGACAAAGTGCGAGCCAAGGACTACTTCGTGGCAACGACCATCGTGGTGGTCTTCTTCACCGTCCTCGTGCAGGTCAGCAAGGCAGGGCCCGGCCGTCCCCAACCACACCAGACCTCCAGGGTGGCTCTGTGCCGGAGAGCAGGGCTAGCTGTGGTGCTCCTGCCCGGCTGCAGGGGGCTGGCATCGGAGGCAGCTCATGGGGAGGTACGAGGCTGGGGTGGAGGAGGCTGGAGGTCGCACTCCAGGACTCCGAGGACCGGAGCAGGGGGCTGCTGGGATATGGGCAGACAGCCCTGCCCCCTCTGGGGCATCGCAGGGCCCAGAGCAGTTCTCTGAGTGGGGCAGCTGCTTCTCCCTCTTAGACAAAACATGCCTTAGAGAGACGGGGCTGGGAGCTCCCCTCCCGCCTGCTCTGCCTGGCACCAGCCGGCTCCTCTCGCTGGTCCCGGCACGCAGGCTGGGCACACGCACTAGCCCTGGGGCGCAGAGCCAGGGGGCAGCAGGAGAGGGAGCAAAAGGCATTCGGCTGCTAAAGGGGGAGCTGGCTGGCTGGCGCCTGCCCCCCCCCCCCCCGTGTTTCCCCCCTCGCTCTGCTCCTGAGGCCTGGCACTTACACCCAGTTCAGCCTAAGGAGAAGCTGCTCCAAGGTTGCCAGGCAGGGTTGCCAATGGGGGACTGTTTTCTTAGCCCCCCCGCCGCCCCTCCCCCCCAGTATTAGCAGCAGGACTCCCTACATTCGCCAGGGGGATTTCTTGCTGCTGGGGACGTTGGCAGAGACTGCGAGGGGGGAGGCTACCCCCTGGAAGTGCTGACCCCCCCCGCCAGACAGAGCCCCTTCCTGCCCCTGCCCCTTCAGGGCAGCTCCGGGCCACACGGCCCTGCCAGGCAGAGCCTGCAGAGAGCTGGGGGCAGGAGGGGAGTGGAGAGCTGCACCTGTGAGTCCCGGCCCCCCTGCTGGCCAGGGCCCCGTCTGCTTTCCCTGCGCAGGCTCTGGTCCGTGCAGCGCAGGGCGAGGCCCCGGGGCCCCGCCGTCCGCCCAGACGGTCGGTGGGCAGCAGTGCTCACGGTGCCAGCGGTGCCTCCCCTTGTGCTGCTCGTGAGTACTAGTGAGCGGCCCTCATTCTCCGGCTGTGGGTGGGTCTGCTCAGGCCTGGGCCTTGGAGTCGGGTGTCAGACCCTGCAGCACAGGCGGGTGCCGCCGGCACACGCGTGTGAGGTTGTTTGGGTTAGTTGTGAGCAGGCCAGACCAGAGCCCATCCGCCTGCACGTGCAGACACAGCAACATGGGCCCTGGGCTTCTCCCCCACTGTCCCCAGGCAGAGACTCAGGCGTGGCCACTAGGTGGCACTGTGACCTCGCGAAAATGCTGGCGAGGCGAAGTCCCTGGCCAGGCCGTGTGTATGCCCTGCCCTGGGCTGCTCTCTGCCCGCCGGATGTGCCAGGCCGGGTGTGCCCTGCCTTGGGCTGCTCTGTGCCCCTCCCCGGCCGTGCCAGGCCAGGTGTGCCCTGACCTGCGCTGCTCTGTGCCCGCCCCGGGTGTGCCAGGCCAGGTGTGTGCTGCTCTGTGCCCCCCCCCAGCGGTGCCAGGCTGGGTGTGCCCTGCCCTGGGCTGCCCTGTGCCCCCCCCCAGCGGTGCCAGGCCGGGTGTGAGCCCTACAGTCTCCTGAACGCCGCACGGGGGCAGCCCACCTGCTCCCCCTCCAGTTAAAGGCAGCGCCTGCCCCCAGGGATCCCGTCTCTTGAGGAGACTGGGCACGCGGCAGGCAGAAGAAACTCTGTGCTAGGCAAGAAGTAGATGGGATGAAACAGCCTTTGTGGGTGTAGCCTCCCCCTTGCTGCCTTGGCTCCCCACCGTGTCACACACAGGGAACAGGGGCAAGGGCATTGGACCGGCATGGCCGCAAATCCCTAACTGAGCTAAACGCTTCCCCACAGTGCACCATTGGCCTGTGGAACTCACTGCCACAGGAAGTTGCTAAGCCCAAGATCTTAGCAGGCTCCACAGGGAGACTGGCCCTTCATATGGATAATGAGACGGGCCTGTTAGAACAGTCACCAAAGAGCCTTGGAAGGCAGGTAAATCCTCCAGCTTCAGGGCTCTCCCCCGCGGGCCCTGGGGCTTGGAGGAGCCCCCGGGCTGTCAGCTCTGCAAAGAAGCTGCTGCCTCAGCCCAGGCAGGAAGGGACCCGGGAGCAGCCTCTCTTCTGCCCCAGAACCGCAGCGGTTGTTGCCTCTTGAGTTTGCCATGTCCTCCAGGCAGGGCCCTAGCTGTCCCCGTCATGTGTGAGCCTGAGGGGCTGGCACTGCGGAGACTCAAGGACCAAGGAGCTCACAGAAGAGGCTGTTGTGAGCTGCTGTGTTCAGTGCTGGGGTCCGCAAGGCTGTGTCCCTCCCCTGAGCCAGGCGCATGGTCCGACTGGGGTGACTCCCACCCCTCGACAGGTGCTGAGGCATCTCTGGAAATCTGGCAAGTTTCTGAGGCTGGAGGTCTTTACTCTGCCAGTCCTTGGCGGCCAGTCCCTCTGGGAGACGGGAGCCCCCTGCTGCATTCTGCTTCTGGACACGGGCATGGGGCACCGGTGCTCTCCAGCATGCAATACAACAGATGCTGCAGAACCAGCCGCCTCAGGGCAGGATGGAGCCTCCCGCCCCCTGGAGGAAGGCAGAGGGGAAGCCCTCTGGTGCTGAATTCATAGGCTGCATCCTAAGTGTTGTCTGAGCTTAGACCCCACAGTGCCAGGTGCTGTACATCTTCAGCCACAGGTTGTCCTAGCCGTGACAATAGAGATGGTGTACGGGTAGCGTTCAGTGAGGCACGTTCTCACTCGCTCTCGTGAAACACGAGTACGGAACTCCGACAGCCCCGCCCCAAAGCCAGCAACCGAGCCTGGCTGGCGAGACTTGTGTGCTTTGTAAACCCGCGCTGCTCACTGCCGCGGTTCTGTGATTCCTGCGGAGACCGGTCCCCATCGCCTTGACGTCAGTGGGTCAAGCCCACCCCGGTGTGACTCCGCTGCCTTTGCTGGAATTGCCCCAGGGGTGGATTTAGCCCCAGCATGTGTTGTTCCATAATGTCTAGCCATGCGGGGGTTTCCCCTTCCCTTGCCTCGAGCATTGTGCCCTGGTCTCTGCTTCCTCTGCACTTCTCCGGGATTTTGAATGACTGGGTGGTTCACCGCGCCGGCTGGTAGCTAACCGCCTGGCTGGGGGCTGCCGGTCCCAAGCGTCCCCTCCCCTGCTCTGCTCCGGCAGCCGCTCTAACAAGGGCTTCGTCCCTGCCCGAGAAACCAGGCATCTGTCAGCTTTGCTTATAGCAGGCAGCTTCTGAAGGAGCTCAGCACATCAGCCCATACTGAGGTCTCTGCCCCGCCATACGGCCCAATTCGCCTCTCCCTGCCCCCAGTGTCACTTGGATGGCACCGGAGCCACTTCTGATTGACACCGGCATGCGAGAGGCATCGAGGCCCTGGTACGCTGTAGGCACGTGTCTCCTGGTGCCAAGGCCTTGGGGCAGCACCTCCTTTCTTGTGCTGCATCTTGGCCCAGCAGCCGCGTCTGCCTGTGTACTTGGGCGGATGGCTCGGCGGGCTCCCCCAGGGAAGCGCTCAGAGGAGGGGAGAGTGGAGTGGCAAAGGCCCAAGGTAGATGCCGCCCAGGCTGAGGGGAATTGGGGCTGGCTCGGTGCCCACGGAGCCTTGCTCTGCCGTTTCAGGGTCTGACCATCAAGCCGCTGGTGAAGTGGCTGAAGGTGAAGCGGAGCGACCATCACAAGCCGACGCTGAACGAGGAACTGCACGAGCATGTAGGTAGTGGGGCCAAGCCGGGACGGCCGGCATCTCCCCAGCCCTGCGTGCCACGGGCCCTGCCCCAGCTCTCCTTTTGGCAGGGGCAATTTCCAGCAGGGATGGGGCGCCAGTTCGGACCCCCCCAGCACTCACTCACTGTGTTTTCTCTTTCCAAGGCCTTTGACCACATTCTGGCAGCGGTGGAGGATGTGGTCGGTCACCATGGTTACCGTTACTGGCGAGACAGGTGAGTGCCCACGTGTGCTGGAGGCCTCTGCCCCCCCTCGCCCGCTCCTGCCCCCCCCCCCCCCCCGCCACGGCTGCCTCCCCCGTCGCGCTCTGGCCCTGTGTGTTCCCTGGGCCCATGCACATAGCAACGTGCCAGTTGTGGGGCACTGAGTGGGGACCCCTCGCTCTGCAGGCTTGAGAGGGGCAACGTGAGGCTGGTGGGAGGCAGGCCGGCCCAGTGCTGCTCTCTGCCCCAGGGCCCCGCCACGGCCCTGCTCCCTGGGACTGAGGGGAACAGTGCAGCCCAGCAGGTCTCGGGCCTTCCGGTCCCTGTGATCGCATCCCGAGAGCCAACAGCGCCTGCCCGGGGGGCTCGCCTCCTCCCACCCCGGCCCCCTCATGTGGCATGTCACCCTGACCCCGAACTGCCTCTCTGCCCACCCCGCCCTAGCCCCGACCTCTTCATCACTCTGCCCACCCCCACACCAACCTCCTCCTCTCCCCACACAACCGTGACACCCTCATCCCCCCCAACCACCCCCACCCCAACGCCTGCCAACCTCAACTCCCCACCCCCATCCCGACACCCTCATCGCCCCGACCACCCCACCCCTGCTCCAACCTCTGACACCCTCATCGCCCCACCCATCCCCACCCCAACACCGACCCCCTCATCTGCCCATCCGCTCTGAACCTGACCCCGAACTGCCTCTCTACCCACCCTGCCCTAGTCCCGACCTCTTCATCACCCCAGCTCCAACCACCTTCTCTCCCCGCCCCAACTCCCAACTTCCTCATCTCTCCACCCACCGTGGTCCCAGCCTCAACCCTGCCCCCCCAACCCCGACACCCGCCCATACCTCCCGGCTTCTTGCACTGTGACCTTGGGGCCAGGAAGATGCAAGATGGGCTTGCTCAGCACACTTTTAAATCCATGGTGCCCTCCTCTCTCAGCCCCTGCTCAGCGCCAGGCCCGGCCGGTGGGAAGGGCCAGTTGTGATGGGTTCAGTCACAGAGACCCCCCTTGGGACTGTCACCTGATGTGCTGAAAGTGCCTCTGAGCCCGTTTTCCCTGCCAGCTTGGGACTCCAGAGCCCTGCCTTGTTAAACCAGACACGCTAGCCGGCTGCAGCACAGACCCAGCGTCAGGTCTACGCCCCCAAAGCTTCAGGCTTTAACCAAAAACTGCTCAGCAGGTCACCTGTCTCCAGCACCCAGACACCCAGCTCCCAATGGGATCCAAACCCCAAATAAATCCGTTTTACTCTGTATAAAGCATATACAGGGTAAACTCATACATTGTTCGTTCTCTATAACCCTGATAGAGAGAGATGCACAGCTGTTTGCTCCCCCAGGTATTAATCACTTACTCTGGGTTTACTAATAAACAAAAGTGATTTTATGAAGTATAAAAAGTAGGATTTAAACGGTTCCAAGTAATATCAGACAGAACAAAGTAAATTACCAAGCAAAATAAAACAAAACACGGAAGTCTAAGCCTAATACATTAAGAAACTGATTACGGGTAATATCTCTCCCTCAGAGATGTTCCAATAAGCTTCTTTCACAGACTAGATTCCTTCCTAGTCTGGGCCCAATCCTTTCCCCGGTACAGTCCTTGTTAGTTCCAGCAGGCATCTTAGGTGGAAACTAGGGGTTTTCTCATGACTGGAACCCCCTTGTCCTGCTCCACCCCCTTTTATAGCTTTGACACAAGGCGGGAATCCTTTGTCTCTCTGGGTCCCCACCCCCCTTCTAAATGGAAAAGCACCAGGTTTAAGACGGATTCCAGTGTCAGGTGACATGGTCACATGTCACTGTAAGACCCCATTTTTCATTACCCACAGGCTGGCCCACAGGTACAGACAGGTGTGCAGGTAAACAGCCACTTACAGTCACTCGTCCTAGTCAATGGGAGCCATCAAGAGTCTAAACCACCATTAATGGCCCACGCTTTGCATCATTACAATAGGCCCTCAGAGTTCTATTTCATATTTCTAGTTTCAGATACACGAGTGGTACATTTATACAAATAGGATGACCACATTCAGTAGATTATAAACTTTGTAATGATACCTTACAAGAGACCTTTGGCATGAAGCATATTCCAGTTACATCCTAGTCACACTTCTAAACATATTTTTAGAAAGCGTATGGCGTGCACCCTCATGCCAGTCTTGGGCCTCTGCCATGCTCTGTGAGAGTCCACGATGTGCCGTGGCGCTTGGGCACGGGGAGAGACCACGAGGCTCCATGGCAGGTGGAGTCCAGCCAGGCACGAGCCCCCTGGATGACGTGGGGCACGAGGGTTCTGGAGCTACAGCTCCCATGAGGCACCACAGCCCTGAGTCCATTTCCTGATTGGGGGGGGTTCCAGGTCGGGAGAGCCTGCCCTGCCCCACTCGCCCACCCGCCGCAGTCCCTGCGGGGTCCCCTCCTGCCGCCCGCCCCCCCCCCCAGGATGCTCTCTCTGCCCTCCCGCCCCTCGGCCCCCTGGCTGCCATATGGAGCCGTGGTTCTCTCAGCACAGTGGGGCCGCTCCTGGCCAGCTTCGTGCGCTAGTGGCCAGATCTTCCTCCCCCAGCGGCTGCATAGCTGCTTCCTCGTGCCAGCGACTGCCGGGGCTGCCCTCGCCCCACCCCCATGGAATAGTCTCGCCCCCACGCCACTGGGAATCGCCGCTCGATTGCTGCTGGACCTGTCTCCAGGGAATGTGGCAGAACGTTAGAGGAGACGCCTTGTTAACCTGCCCCTTCGGCTGGGATCCCAGGTGCGCCGGGGCGAGGGGGCTGCCGTCCTGCACACGGGAGCTCACCACCTCTTCCTCCCTCTTGTGCCAGATGGGAGCAGTTCGACAAGAGGTACCTGAGCCAGCTCCTGATGCGGAAATCGGCCTATCGGCTCAAAGACGAAATCTGGGATGTTTACTGCAAGCTGAATATCCGCGATGCCATCAGCTTTGTGGATCAGGTACCGGCGCAGCCCCCAGCAGCTACCGCACGCCCTGCCTGGCGGCAGCTAGATCGCCGCTCCGCTGGGGAACGGCGGGGCCTGACCCCTGCAGCTCTCCTGGATGAACCGACCCTGCTGGGGGCACTTCCCCACCAGCACAGGGACCAGCTCTGCCCCGGCTCCCAGGCCAGCCAGTCCTCCCGTGCTGGCAGCCCACCCCCGCCAGGGCCGTGGCAGTCACAGCTTGTCGGGCCAGAGCAGGTCCCCTAGGGACAGCTGGGAGCCCCTGCGAGCCTGGGGCCAGGGGTAGAAAGCGGGGCCAGTGGGACTCCCCGAGTGCTGCCCCCCC